AAGGAAAGAACACTGTACGGTATTATTTTCTATTCTTATATCAACAGGGGAAGGATTTAGGTTATGCCTTGAGTGAGAAGAACCAGGGCAGGGAGATCATGACCAGCATCAGGCTGGGCCTGAGCACAAACACTGGTTTTCTCTTTATCTGGGTGAGGCTTGCCTGTTGATGGGACAGTCCAGTGGAAATGAGGGAAGAGTCATATAGAACAGGATGCAGTCCATGAATACAGCACAGTGACGGAGTTTAGAGGGCATCTTAGTCCCAACAGGTTATCTTAGCACTTAGGACTGCCATATGAATAATGCCATAGACGGAGGTTTATACAAAAAATATATATATTTCTCATAGTTCTGGAGACTGAGAAGCGACAGATCAAGGACATGGTGGATTGGTATCTGGAAAGCTTTGCTTCTTGGATCATGAATGGCTGACTTTGGACTGTGTCCTTCTACGGAAAATGGGTCCAAGTTCTCATTAGAAGAGCATTCCTTAAAATGTGCCATTCCTGAGAACTCTTCCAACAGGACCTAATTATGTCCCAAAGGCCCAACCTAACAGCACTGGGATCACAACAAATGAGTTTGGGGGACTCAGACATCCTTCACATAAGAGAAGCAGGAGAAAAACAGTGCCTGGGATTCCTTGAACACTGACGTTTACTTCCAGAGGGCCTTCTTGTGTACTGATTTAGTACTCTGGCTCTCGAGGCATTGTATAAAGATAGACTATGAGGAAGGCTTCCACTAGTGATACCAAGTTGAAAGTTTCAATTACTGGGAATCAACTAGAATTCTCTATGTACAGAATTCATAGTATAGAATTAGCCCTTAGGCAGTGGGAAGTTCTGAGCACACTGGAGGTAAAGCCAAAATAGTGCTTTAAATTGTAGCATAAATATGATGTTGTGTTTTGTTCTTGAACCAAGCAATTGTTCATACTTCTCTGTGTAAACTTAATTTGATTGAGTGGCTGACACAATATTTTGTTTAATTGGTAGTGCCATGGGTTTTTTTCCCTTTATTCTTCCTCATTATTACTGAGATATTTAAACAAATATCACATATTGCCCAAAAAATATTTTGTGAAAATTATAATACATTCAAAAATTGACAGAAAGTTTAAAGAATCCATAGGTGCTATCTCTGAGATAGCAGAATTTACATCGTATGATGTGCACTTTATCATGGGTCCATCTYTCCATGCTGGTCTCACCACATATTACTTTTCCCATGCATTTCAGACTAAGATGCAGATGTCAGTGCAGTTCACACCTAGATAATTTAACATGTATTTTGTACCATCATGCTGAGCCAATGTCATAAAAATATGATGATTCAAGTCATGTGTGTGGTGTGTGTTCATGACCTGACTCTTCCTATCTTCAGGTGTTAACCAGCCATGGGCAAGACTACCTGGTTGGCAACAGGCTGAGCAAGGCTGACGTTCACCTCACTGAACTTCTCTACCACACAGAAGAGCTGGACTCCACTGTTCTGGCCAACTTCCCTCTACTGAAGGTGCTCTCTCTCAAGTCCTCATAGAGGCCCACACCTCCCATCAGTGATCTAACATCTAAACACTGGGGCATGTTGTGTTCTGACTTCTAGCCATCTCCAGTCTTCACCCTCCCTTCTCTGGCCTCCAAAAAGATCTTCTAGGCCCTGGTTCTGRGGAATGAAAAGAATCTTGCTATACAAGGACATTTAAAGTGGATGTTACTCTAAGACGTATATTTGGCTTTGWATAATARGTGAAACCAAGGGCCCAGCTTTCTCTTCACAGCCCCTATTCCACTTGAGTTCTGACCATGACTTCCTTGGGAATCCCTCCATCCCCCGTATGCCCTTGTCTTTCCATGTTGAGCAAGTCTCCTTCCATCAGTTCTCCTTCCTCCTCCTCAGGTTCGAATCCTCAAATGTTATATTTCTCTCTCAAACCTTCCTTCCTTACTCCCACCCTCAGCAACTGCCATCTTTATCTCTCAGTGTGATAATTTGTAGTGACTRGCACCTGCATTTTCTGGTCTATTTCTATCATCATTTCTAACTCAGTATTACCATRTCTTCTTTTCACCTGTTTGAATGCTTCTCTGTTTCCACGTATGACAGGCAAATGTCACATTTTTTTCTTTATATCGTACAGTAGCAATGAATCTATAGGATTAAAGTGTAAGGCAGAAGACAGGATGGCTAGAACTGAATACAGTTTTAAAAAGAAGTTGGGGAGGGGCTGGGGTTGTGACTCAGAGTAGAGCATGCAAGACCCTGGGTTCGATCCTCAGGACCACATAAAAATAAATAAACAAATAAAATAAAGGTATGTGTCCAACTAAAAAATAATATTAAAAAAAAGTAGTTGGGGGAAATTGTCATTGAACTTTATTTTTTAGCTCTTATCTCTTTTTCTCATTGGTTGTGTTTCCCAGACAGCATGCTGGGAATGTCCAAGACTTCCTGATTGTGTTAATGGGTGTTGGTTTGGGCTCCACTCTCAGGCTGTGTTCTTCTGCATTGCAGGCCCTGAGAACCAGAGTCAGCAACCTGCCCACGGTGAAGAAGTTTCTGCAGCCTGGCAGCCAGAGGAAGCCCTTTGATGATAGAAAATGTGTGGAAATAGCAAGGAAGCTTTTCAGTTAAATGGAGGCAGACATGGAGACATACAATACTGGGCTTTATCCAAATGTTGATCCTGATTACTATGAGGCTGACATAGTTTCCCAAAATTTCTGTGCTAATTTAGTTAGAAAGGAGCTGTGCAGATTTCTTTGCAATGCAGTCTATTTGGTTTTGGTGAAGTTTTATAACCATGATCACCACCTGGGATCTTTTTAAATTTGATAGAATGGAGAAAGTTTCTTAGTCACTGGTCTATTTAAAAATTGTCTTATAACATCTGTCATGTACTATCTCAAAGAAAATTAGGTAGAAATTTTCATCTGATACTCTGCTTAGGCGAAAATATCTTTTTGTTTTGTGTTTTGCTACCTTTATCACCAAAACACATTAAAAACAAACCTATAAAGAACCATTTTCTTTCAACTTTTTTTCCTGTTATTTGTTCAACCTATGTTTATGTCTAGCATGAAATATTCTGTGTTCTTGGAGCCAGATAATCAATGATGAAAAAAAACCAGATATATTCTCTATGTTCATGGCAATGGATCTAGTAAGAGAAACAAACAAAAAACAGATAAACCCAATCTAAAATCATGCACAGCATGTGTATCACGTTCCTAAGGCTGCCACAAGAAATTCCTACAAACTTGGTGGTTTTAAATAATGGAAATTCATTCCCCCACAGTTCTGGAGCTAAGTGGGAAGTCCAGGTATGAGCCATGCGTGGTCTCTCTGAAGGCTTTATGGAAGGCTCCTTCTTAGCCTCTCCCTAGTGTCTGACAGGTGCTGGCCATTCTGGGAGTTTTTCAGTTTTTTGTCACAAYACTCTAATCTCCTCTTTCATGGTCAAAGGACAATCTCCCTGTCTGTGTTGTCAGTCCAAACTGCCCTCTTCTTATGAGGATACCACCAGTTGGATGAAGAGCCACCCTATTCCAGGGTGACCTCAACTGTGTTATTTCTGCAGAAACCTTTTTTCCAGATGAGGTCACAATGACAGGTAGTCAAGGGTAGGACTTAAACATAGCCCTCTCACAGAACAGATTTTCTCCTACAACGCCATGCTCAGAGGAGTTAATGTTGGGAGGGCACCATCAGTAGACATCTGCTGGGATCTGTGAGTGAAACAGGTTTCTCAAGGAGGGGAGTCATATCTGAGGTGAGATGAGCAGGAGGGACAATCAGTGAGGGGGGTGGCACCAGCACTGGGCAGCAGGGGTAGAATCCAGGCAGAGGTCAGCACAATCAGTGGCCAAGRAGAGACAGTAGCCTGGGCGTTACTCCATTCAGGGAATCAAGTAGTTCAGAAACAATACCTGAAAATCTGAATGGTCCTCTGCTGCGGTCTGCACACACTGTCCCTGTTGTCTCACAGACTCCCTGATCTGAGGTTTGGTCAAAACGCTGGCCACCATTTTTCCCCCTGAGCAGCAGCATTCACATTCCCTACAGGAAGGGAAGGAACAGGAGGTCTCTTTCAGGTCTGCAATCTCAAAATATAGATTAATATATACAGTTATTTGTCCCATGGCAAGCCCATGGAATGTAGGCAATTGAATCTGGGGCTTAGTTTCAGTTAATCATTTTTGTAGAGTGAGCTTCCCCACAGATGGCTGTAGTAGGGCGGAAGGTGACCTGGGACCCATGGCTCATACTTTTAAAATGTCTGTTCAATATTAGCTCAACTGAGACCAACCAAGATGTTCCTTCCTAGACAGCTTCCTAAAGAGTTCCCAGATCCCTTTGCATATTCACCTGCTTGCTCTCACCTGGAGACTCCTCAGGGAATTAAAAGGGAGGCCTCTGTTAAGTGTCTTTTGAACAGGACACTCTTAATCGACCTTGGGGACAGAACCAACATATTTTGTATTGTGATGTACACGATGGGGGTCTAAGGCAAAATTCTACATTTTAAATTTTATATGTCCCTCAAAAGACCGTGTCTTAGGACTCATTCCTCAGCTTGGCACTACTGAAAGGTGGTAGAAATCTTTAAAATGGAGATTTTGACCTCCCTGGATGTGTGACTTTGTAAAAGATTGTGGGAAGCCGGTCCCTTCCCTCCCCTCACCCAGCCTACATTCTCTCATTTCTTCCTGGAAAACGTGATTTGAGCAGTTTTCCTCGGACACATGTTCTTGTCAGCCATGATATACTGGCCCTCCACAGGAACAAAAACAAATAGGTCAAATGAATACTTGAAACGTGAGTGAAAAGCCTGCAACTATGAGCCAAAATGAACCTTTCCTCTTTTAAGTTGATTTTCTCAGGTCCATTGTTATGGAAAGGGAAGCTGACTAACACACTCTAGAACAAAGATTTTTTTTAACTCATCAGATTCAGCACTCCCTAGCTTATTACATACATTTAGAATTTCTTTTTATCCTGGAGTGAATTTCCTAAGATTTACCTCATTGCTCTTGGTGCTAGGAATACAATATTGAGGAATGCATAATAAACCATGTTGAAAAAACTTTGCATAAAAGGAATTTCAAATCAATATGTCACATTGGGCCAAGGAGGGTCCCTGCAGGAAGCCAAAGAACCAATCCAAAAGAGTGGCTGAAGCCAGACATGGTGGTACACACCAGTAATACTGGCACTTAGGAGGCTGG